GGAAGTAATGTAATGTGTAGAGAGTATTAATTAATGTAATGTATTTAAAAAATTAAGGAAGGTCAATGTTAGGGGTAATTTACTTTTTTTTTTTTTAAGTTAATGAAAAAATATTTTTGTTTAAGTTACATAAACGATCAATATTAAATTTCAAAGGCCGGTTGATATATAAATTGTTATTGGTTAATCAGTTAATCTAGTATTGCTTATTTCTTTTTTTAAAACATTATATATATAATGTTAATTTAAAGCTTTATTTGACTTAATTGATTATAATTTATATTAATTTAATTATTAATGAATCATGGATTAATAAAAATATATATTCAATTATTATTAATTTGTTGATAACTTAAGATTTAATTATATTTTTAATCCTTCAAATTTGAGGTATATATTTTCTTGGTCTTCTAAATTTAAATTTTTTTAATCTCTAAAATATAAAAATATTACTTTAATTTCTCAAATTAATAATGACTTTTTTCCCTCAAATTTTAAATTAATTTTTTTAATTATGTAACTTCAAAAAATATTATTTTTTAGTCCCATAAGACTACTAATAACATAACGGATATTGGCAAATTAAAATGATTATATAATCTTAGTTAGTTTAATGTGATATTTTTATAAATAAAAATACTAATAAGAGAAAATCCTATGAAACAAATTCAATGACTGGTGCTTACACCTCCAATAAAAGCAGAAAAAAGGATGAATGAATGGTAGAAATAAATTTCGTTTTCTACAAAATATTGTGCTTGAAGTTGGCCTTGGTTTCTAAGTAACTAAATTTGCTCCAACCTTTCGTGGTTCAGAAATTACTTTTCATATTCAGTCAGGTTGTACTTTAATTTAACCTTAAACTTAAGGGCTTGGTTTGTTTCCAAATTCCAATTGTTGTAATTCCTTTACATCATATGCAAGATGGTCATAAAGTTAAATTGGGTGGTCCTGGAGGCACCTTGAAGAACTGATTTAGCAAGAAAGTGCATGCTGTTGTATATATGATGCTTTTGAATATTCTGTTGGTGTACTACACTCCAAGGGAGATTCTCATAAAATTCTATTTACTATGCAAATTGGAACAGCTAACAAGATAGCAAGATTTACGTTTTGTATCAAATCCTCCTCCCCCGAAGCAACTTATACATAGCAACAGAGCATGATCAACATGAGCCTAGCAACTTACCTTCCGAAACCAAAATTTCCAAACATTCCAAACATAACTATTTTGTATTTAAAAGATTAACACAAAAAGCACAATCAAATCAAAACAATCATTCTGTAATAGAGAGATGGAGATAGAGAAAGAGTTTGAAATGGAAAAAAAAAAAATGAATCGTGCAAAACAAACCTTAAAATTGAAATTGAAGACAAAATCACAAGAGATATTACCACATGAAGATCCAAAAGGAGAATGAGTTGACGCTGCCATTGAAGCTATGCGCAAAAGATAGAAGAAGCCATTAGTGAGAGTGAGAAGCGAGAGTGAGAGTGAGATGACGGTGAGAAGTGAGGTAAAAGATGGGAAATGCCTTATGCACCGAGTGTGAGGAATTTTTTAAAACAGAAGTTCAAATAAAAATTAATATTAACGGTAATTTTAAAAAATTGTCACTATAAAAAAAGTTTTACTGACTAATTTTTATTGGCCACTAAAAACTTTAGCTAATAATAATATGCAGGCAATTATCTTATTGCCACTAAATAATAGTCGCTAATAATACTTTTTGTTGTAGTGTGATTACTGAGCATAAATATATATTTAATTTTGAGTTTGAATATGTTTTGATAAGGATTAGAGTGCTTTATGGGTTCCTACGGAAACCCTACGAGAAACAGGTAAAATATAATGTTTTCTATTTTGATGTTTGAGTTTTCTGTTGTGTTTCTTATGTTTGCTGAGTGTGAATATGTGTTTAATTTTGAAAATAGAAAAGTTTTAAGTTATGTTTGAAGGTGCTAATGGTGTGAGAACTGCCTTATTATTATGTTAATGCAAGTGATGTTTTTTTATGAACATGATGAGGATGAGAATCTCTTATATGTGATCTTGTGACTATGAGTATGATAATGTAATATGAGAACAAGTGACATGATGAGATATGACAAGTGAAATGTTGAGTCCATGAATATGTGAATGTGTGACATGCATCATATGCATCTATGTGAAGGGGTACGATATGGAGTACACCGTTAGGGAAGACCCTTTGAGGAAAACATCTCGGAGGAGTCCTAGGGGATAACGCGGTTTGGAAGGCCCAGTTCTGCTCATTTGTGTGCATGGGACATCTCTTGTGCGGCTTCGCTATCCCGACCAGATCCTAGCAGGACATCCTTCTAGTTGAGAGAGTGCGGTTGAACCGACATGTACTCCTACACTACTCCAGGTATGTTGCTTCGATAGCATACCACATGATATATGATTATGAGACACGTAACTGGTGCCACATGCATGCATTTATGAGTCAAGTCCATGACATCATTGCATGATAAATGAATGTGCATGTGATTCTGATTGTGTATGTGTATTGTTTATATGTGATTTGTGCTTGTGACTTGTATTATGTTTGTTGTTTGTGTGTTGTCTAACAATTATTTTTGCACCTGAACCCGAGTGAGATGTTTCTCACTCTCATGTTTGTTTATATATGTTTAAAATTGTATTATAGGTGATCATCAGTAGGGGATGTTAGTGATGAAGTTTAGGCTTCTGTATTGGGCGTGCTCTGATTAGGACATGTGACACCAAAGGATAAAATATAATGTCTTTTTTTACTTTTTAAATTGGATTACTTACATGTTATTTCGTTCATTAATTATAATTAAGTTGTCTATTTACTTAGGTGATTTTGATTATTGAATTACTTCATTATGAAAGTGTTTTAAGATGTGAATGTGAGCCTTTTACCCTTATGCTATTTGAGATGTTGTTCTAATTACAAAGGTTTCTATTTACTCTTATTATTTGATATAATTGTATATTTATGTGTGGGATAGAGGGTGTCACAACATTTTTTTTTAACTCCGAGGGGTAATTTTTTAAAAACTCTAAAACTAAATAACTTTCTATTTTTTTAAAGAATAAATAAGTTGTGATGCCGTGTTTCATAACACGACTTTTATTTATTTATTTATTTTAAATGAAAGTCATCTCTATTAAATATGATATATTTTACTTATTTATATGTTCAAAGTGGAAAAGTCCATTAGACAACTTGTTTTATTTTATTTTCTTACATTAAAATAATATTATTATAGATAAAGTTTTAAAATGTTATTTTTTAAAACATGATTTTAGTTTTTCTTTAAAGTAAAAGTCATATTTGTAAAACATGACTTTTATTTTAGAAGTCGTATTTTATAAATCCAACTTGATTATTTTAAGATTTTTTTAATAAAAAATTAACCTATTTTAAAAAATTTTGTCCCACACTTGAAGTATTTCATTTGAGTTGACAAAGTAGATCTCATGCTTCTCCATACATAGATTGATTCGTGATTGGTTGTTAGCTCCTCGAATGAGATTGTTGGCGCTCGGGAACGCCAAAGGACAGTGGGCCGACGAGCTCCCCAGCATCCTTTGGGCATATCATTGCACCCCACAGTCAACCACGCAAGAAACACCTTATAGGCTGACCTACGGAACTAACGCAATGATCCTAGTGGAAGTCGGAGAGACATCCCACCGACGCCAAGTTTTCAACAGCGAGCAAAACGCTCGAGAGTTAGCAACCGACCTCGACTTGGTTGACGAGCTTAGAGACGAAGCTCAAATCCACGAAGAAGCCTGCAAACTCTGAGCTTCCCGAAGATACAACACCTGGGTGCGGCCTCGCTCTTTCCGAGTTGGCGACTTGGTATGGCGATTGCTAGGCGAAGCACGGAAAGACACGTCAGATAGGAAGCTTGCACCCACTTGGGGTGGCCCATTCCGAGTTACAGAAGACTTGGAAAATGGAGCGTACCGACTAGAAGAGTTCAGCGGAAAACCTATACCGCAAACTTGGAATGCTACGCATCTCAAGTTTTATTTCAGCTAATTTTGTACGAATGAGCTATGCACTCTTTTTCCGCCTCATTCTTTTATAAAAAAAAAAACAGAAAAATGGGTTTTGGCTGAGAGGGTTTTTAACGAGGCACACTTACACAATCAATAAAATGACTCATTCTGTTCAACTCATATTTTCTTAGTTCCGCATCATTTTATGTTTTATACTAAATAAAGGTCGAGTTCAAACTTTCGTACAATTCACTCTGCTTTAATCCAAGGTCGAGTTCGAACCTCGGCATGATTAACTCAAGGTCGAGTTCGAACCTTCACAAGAGTTACTTAACGAAAATTCGAGGTCGAATTCGAACCCGGCATGATTAATTCAAGGTCAAGTTCGAACCTTCACAAAGAGTTACTTAACAAAAATCCGAGGTCGAATTCGAACCCCGGCATGATTAACTCAAGGTCGAGTTCGAACCTTCACAAGAGTTACTTAACGAAAATTCGAGGTCGAATTCGAACCCGGCATGATTAATTCAAGGTCAAGTTCGAACCTTCACAAAGAGTTACTTAACAAAAATCCGAGGTCGAATTCGAACCCCGGCATGATTAACTCAAGGTCGAGTTCGAACCTTCACAAGAGTTACTTAGCAAAAATCCGAGTATATATATATATTAATTAGAGATTAAAAATATAAATGTTAAATTTGAGAGAAAAAATATATATTACAAATTTAAAAAACTAAAAAACTTATTTAATTCATACTTTAATTACTATTTAGACTAATAGACAATGCACAAATAAATTAATATATCTTGAATAAAATAATAAATAAAGGAACAAAATTTCCAAAACACAGGTCAAAAGCCATCCGTCCAAGCTTCAACTTACATGCCCTTATCCCAATCATCTGTATTCTATAGCAGCATCCAAAGCTTTAGGATTAATTCGAATAATATATAAAACCACATACATTTCTTATTCTATATGCTAACAATAACATGACATCCCACTATGATGAGAATGGCCACGTCCTTTGCCGTAATCAGCGGTTGAGAGACTAACTCTTTCTCCATTAATTACCTACTTCACTTTCATTGGTGAACTTTCTCTAGGGTAATTCTGCTAGATTTCATTGCTCTCTTCAATAATCCTTCATTCCTTCTCCACTCACTCAACACAAAGCTCAATTACTTATATATGCATTTCCAAGGTTATGATCATCCACAACCTCTTTCAAAGATTGCTCAGCGCGGAAATATAGCAGAGGGAGACAAATCAAGGCAACCAAAGACTAAAGAAAAGGTGTGCTCAATTGTCATTTTCTTGTCTCTTTACAATTTTCATTGTTGTAGTAGTATTTTCCGATTAATTAGCTTTTATATTAATGGAGGCAAAGGATATAACTTTCATTTTTGAACAAAGATTAGTTATGTAATCAACCATTATGATATTTTAGTAGTAGAGTAGAGGGTGGAAATATTATACAGGATCTTGAATTTTAAACTTATTTTTATCATTGCAATTTCTCTGAATAAAAAAAAAAACTAACTGTGTAATCAATGTCTGTTTGGTGGAATTTGAGTATTTAGAAACTTCATTTTCATAGTTTTGATTTCATAAAATTAATTTTGGCTAAAAATAAAAAATTAATGTGTCATTTGCAAAGTTAATTTTATAAAAATTAAAGTTATATCGATGTCTAGTGGAAGATGCTAGTTTTAAATAATGGGCAAATTAAGATTCAAATTCCCATTAAAAAATTTAATTTATACATTAAAAACTTTTAATTAAACAATTAAATTGTTAAAATTTGATGTAAAACATGAGATATATATATGTTGAGAGAGATCCAATGACATTGATATAATTTTTTGCCAATTATTATACTACTCAATAATTTTATATTAGATATGATCTGTGTCAATTCAACTATTTAATTATAATTTTATATCATCTTTTATATGTTTATGTCTTTTTTTGTTAAAATTGAAAATTCTGAAGGTAATCAAATTATTCATAATTTAATATATTTTAAAATGTATATATTATGTCAATTTTAATTCATATGAATGAGGTGTCAAATCATCTTGGATTAATATAAAATTTTGTATATATATGATATAAAAGTAAAGAACTTTTAATCTAAGAATAAATTTTAAAAAATAATCATTTAATTAAAAATTATTAAGAGGTGTAATAATCGTTAAAAGTTACATTAGTATCATTTGATCTCTTTCTCTCTCTTTCTTTCTCTCTCTCTCTCTCACACACACACACACACACACACACACACACACACACACACACACACACACATATATATATATATATATTAACAATTCAATTAAAAGTTCTTAATACATAAATAAGTTTAATTTGTCAATTTTTATATTTGATATTCAGTTTTGACAGATAACTAGTGATTTAACATTTAAATTAAAACTTCTTAATGTATACATCAAGTTTGCCAAATTTAAAAAAAAAATTTGAAAATTATTCGTTACTTCGTTTTATCAAATACAAATTAACTAATAATCATAAAAATATTTTATACGTTAATTTGAATTAATAAAATGAAATATCAAATAGTTTTCAAAATTTTAAAAATTTATAGACTTGACTTATGCATTATAAACTTTTAATTTAATTATTAGATTGTTAAAATTTGATATAAAACATGAGTTATTAAATAAAATAAATATAAATAAACTTACTTACTACAACAAAATTGCCATATAGTGACACATACCCTATAGTGACACTATACATATTACTAAAAATTACTTTTACCCACACAATAATTACAATATATATTGGTATGTTATTAAAAAGTGTGAGTATAAACTATAGTGACACACAAAATATATAGTTAAATCTCATCCAAAATCAACACTAAAATTATCCTAACTATATATCAAATAAACATATACCTACATATATTATATTTATATTGTACTTATAATGACACTTTTTTATGTCATTATATCTAATATTTCTTGTAGTGACTCTTAAAATAAGTGAATTAGTACACTTACTCTCTATATATATAAAACTGGTTAAAGGTATTTGTAGAGCATATCCTTTCCCTCGTAATCATATATTAATTTGCCTAGAAGCGTGATTCTGAAGATCTCTAATGTTTTGTACAAGCATGCCTCATTAATGACGACTACCAGTAGCTATCTCTAAAAGGGAAAGGAATCCATGAATATGAGGAGATTAGAAGTCTTGAGGCAATTCCTTTATCCTTAATTATATAATTATTTTCTCCTCATGTCTTAATTATATATGCTATAATGAATATTAAACCAATAATGAGAGGCAATATTGTGTATGAAGCCCGCAAATAAAGCCTATTGATCCAAAATGCTACTGTATATGTTTGAATAAAAAATTTCATAAATATATTCTTTTTTTCATAATTAAAATTAATTTATGCATCTTAAGTTTTAGAGAAGTTAAATGAGAGAAGTTTTTACATATAAAAATTAAATACATAATTTATTAACTTATACAAATACAAGATATTTAATTTATTTTTTCTTCTTATTTTCTTCTCTCCTAAATGGTTAGCGTATTTTTTTTTCTTGTGGGGCATATTGTTTGTTTAAAATTGTAAAACATAATTTTAACAATATATAAAAAGCTAGTGATATTGATGTTTTAGAAATTTCATAAAGATTAATTTTTTTTAGTTATACATATAAAAAAATAACTTTTTTGTGTGTACAATACGAACACTTGAAACCTATTCATACTATTCACCCCCCCTAAAAAAAATTTATTTAAAAGATAGTTATATTAATATATTTTTCAAAACTACTAAAACAGTTTCTCAAAACTAAAGATTTGATTTGTTTTCAAGTATAAACAAATACATTAAAAAATAAAAGTGATTTAAAAAAAAAACTTTTATGAAATGAAAAGGTTGAAATACTTGGACTCTATAACGAGAGTCATGTGATTCTCAACATTATTTTGCGCCTCCATGTTCATTTAATGTTTGAAGTAATTTAAGGGTCCACTTTTGTACTTTTGAGTCGTTTAACACTGAAACTATTAATTTGGAGAGTGTTCCTTTTAGCTTTTTAGAAGAAGAATCACTATACAAATTGCATTTCACTGTATTTAATTGGCTTACTATTACATTTTATTTCACATAAAAGATATTCATTGCTATAATTTGAATCTTAAATATTTTGTCGTTTTTTAATTAACTCATTTTTACGTAGTCTTTACAATGTATAGTGAAAAATTCCATAATAATCCAAGAGTTAATTAACATTTTCAAATATCAAAACTTGTCGCTGTCATCTATGAGTCTTAGTAAATTTATCTCAATTCTTTGTAGAACTTTGGTTTTTTTCCTTTTTCTTTTAATAGGATAATGATAGCTGTGCATATATCTCATGTGATAAAAAAGATTCGAAAAAAACACATTTATAATTTTAATATACTCTACAAATATATATAAATTTTATAATAAAATGTGCGATGGAACTTAACCATATGATATATAGGCAACTATCAATATCGTTACGTGACGCATCTCAACATCACACGAGCATGACCACTTCCCTGCCCACGGTCAACCAAAATTGGTAGACACAACTTTATATTTCGCTTTCTCATTATAAATAAGATTTAACTAGAATGCACTTTTAATGTAAATATTTTGTTTTATGATGATGTTCAATCACAACTTATTATATTGATATATATTTATTGATTTTTAAATTAATTATTTTAAAAATTATATTAAATTTTGTTTTAATTAATTGATAAAAAATATATTTATTCAAAATACATGTAATTTAGACTCTTATAAATATGCTAAAAAAAGATAATAGAATTTATTAATTTTATTCTTGATATTGCTAACTAATATTTTTCTATAATAAAAAAGATATATGTTAAAACATGCATAACTAAAAAAAATACACGGTCAATCAACTATAAAGTAGTATTAGTGTAACAATTCATCATAATTTATACACTTAACGGTTCATAATTAGTAGTAGAAATATCAACTAAATACCTAGAATTATTATTCTAAACATATTTAAAAAATATATATTATAATATATATATATTTGTAAGAGTTTTCAACAACAACTAAGGAAATAGAATTTTATATAAGTATATAGTAATCCGAATAATAAATAATAACTCTAGTAGTTGAATATTAAACATACCAAACACAACCAAAAATAGTTACACATAAGTAGCTTCAAAATCGTCAGCTCTAAATAAACATGGCCTCCAAAGGTCTTCAATAATAACCTATCACTACTTTACTTCTATGTTAAGTATAATCATCGATCGTAGTCCAGTCGCATGGAAACATGTAAGGGTAAGTTAAAGTTAAAATAATCAACATAAACAATAAAAGTAGTATAGAAATAGAAACAACTATACTATCAGCATAACCAATCCAACTTACTATAACATAGTATCAACTTACAACTTTCAATATAATATAACATGTTTTCAACTTGAATAACACACCTCAATTTGTGACACCGCAACACATGTCATCACAAGTCAACATTGCATATGAACAAAACAATTCTATCAATACATCATATGCACAACACAACAATTGTATGCGTTATCACACATTTCAACTAGGAGATCTCCTACAATGTAGGTCAACAATTTAAATGACTTGACTTTACCGAACCAATAGCTCGATCTTTTCAATCCAACTAAATTAATAGCGAATTGGAATACTAATCCTTAACAACATGATTTCTTGGATGTCATCAGTTAAAATAGAAAGTCTAATATTCTTGTCAAGGTAGAATAACTTGGGCGAGAGCCTACTACAATATTTGCGAGCATTAGTAAGCTACCTATGAGATTAGCTCGCCAACCACCATCCAAATACTACTCCCTTCTAGTATTTAGGGATTATAGTCCTCAACCTTATACCTTTAATTTGCTCGCTTTGTGCACGTATATATTGACCTTACCCACATTCGAATCAACAAGTCGCTTATAGTTGGTATGCCTTGATATTACCCATATACCACATCAACTAAGGCCTAGAAAAAGGCTCAATTATTCACTTCAAGGGTTAACATACCAAGAAGGGTTTTCAACAAATTGAGCTCTCGTAGCACCACAATACAATATCCTCACAATGAGATATACAACTTTAAAACAATTTTTCCTCTAATCCTAGATCAATTAACATAGTACAACTAATGCCAAAACATTCTCAACATAGTTACTCTACTTAAATAATATACAACTGAACTCAACTTTCAACCATTTAATCAACTTTATACAATAAACTATTCCAAGTATAAAGATTCAACATCATTTATCAACACACAACATATAAGACAACTAAATCATCATACAACATGTAATAAATCCTATCCTATACAAGTTCACCAACTTCATAAAACAACACGTTAATTTTAAGCAAACAGTGTAAGACACTATCCACTTGACACCCGACGCCATTGAAGCAAGGAGCCCTTTGCCTCGTCCATGCCTAACGTCACACAATTCATGTTTGGTGTGGATTACGTAGATTCCCTTAGACCCTCATGTCTGGCATGGCAAAGTCTCACACCTAACCTCACACCCTATGTCATTTAAGCCATGCCCGGTGCTAGTTCAGCCCAAGGCAATTCTCTTTCTTTATTTTTGGTGTCATTGATCCTATGCCCAATGTGAGCTAAACAGAGTGCCCCTAATTGAACCATGCTCGACGCGATGGTGAATTTTGCACTTGCAAACTCATGAGTTTGCCTTAAACCACCTAAAAATGGATAGAATCAAGCATGCATTATAATAATACATGTCTATTTATCACATGTAACTCATTTCTCATCAAAATAATGACATGCAACCACCAATTTGCTCAAATCATCAAACCCACCTCCATATGTAACAAACACCAAAAGTTCCACAACTTCAATCATGCAATGTGAAATCAACCAACACATTAATGATTTAATGAAATCCATCAACATGCAACTCAAATAATTCATCAAGAGTCCAATTTTTGTCTTCCCTTACCTCTCTAAGTTTTTTTTTTTTAAATTGAATTTATGAGACTCAATTCTGAAAAGAAACCTTATATGCTTCCTTCCATTGGTCAAACAAAACTTTTACAAGAGAACCCCTCTATACACGTAAAACTCACAAGAAATTACTTAATTATGGAGTTCTCAATAACTCAACAATAAATCAACATAACAATGTTTTAATAAAATCAATAATACTCAATAAAAATGTACAAGTAGTATATTTTTAAGGTTATTATTGTAATAGTATAGACTATTTACTCTTAAAACATCTTACTCCATTTGTTCTCTATGTACGCTTAATTTATTTTAATGTAACTTTATTTTTTGATATAATGTTAATGATGTGAAATATTCACTAATTTTATTAATAACTAATTTTCGTTGAAGAACATAATTGACCATTTTTAATAGGTTTTAACTCTTAACAATATTTTTTTTCATCCACAATACTCAAATCAATTTAAAAATATTTTTAGTAAATTTTTAAGGCTATTTTTTAAGAGTGTAGACTATTTACTCTTAAAATTATATATCACTCCCTTTGTTTTGGTATATACTTTTAATCCTTTATTTATTTTTTCACTTAAATATAGCTTTTTAGATTTTTTTGGTAACCATCAATGGCGTGAAGTACTAACCGACTTATATGAAGACTACTCTTGCCTAGGAAGCTTAGTTGGACATATTTAACGAAATCTTAACTCTCAATTACATTTTTTTTATCCAAAAAAATTTGAATGAGTGGCATTACTTAAAAAAAATCAAATCCAAAGCAACGGAAACGACTGTCTAGTGATAGTTAAATGTAACTCAATTTAAATGAAATCATTAAAAGTATTATACGTATTCATTATTAATAAAATATCATTAAATATTTGTATAAAAAATTAAATAATATATTAAATTAGTCATATTATTTAAAAAATAATAATTGATTCATTATTATATATCATCCCTACTTTTATAACCTTTCTTTAGTGTCATCATGAACTACTACAAATAGTTTAAAATCTAGTTTAAGCTTACATTTTTCATAATGTTTGTTCGATCATTAAAATTATACTTTAGTAGGTATATTTACTCAATAAAATTTTTTAACATCAAAAGTGAAATTCTTTTAATGAATCTCGGCTAACCCTCAATTTTGTAAGTAAAATATAAAATCATACTATACATTATTGAGTTTTAATTAACCATTAAATAGACAATGATCATGTTATTGACTCATTGTTGAATAATTTTAAAGGTACAATTTCCTATCTACTATTTTTACTCATTAAAAAAAACCTCTATTTTTAAATTTTAATACAAATCTTCTTTCAAAGTTAGTTATATCTTTAATATTTTTTAAAATGTAGCTAAATTTAAAAGGAGTCATTCAATGCGTTACGCACAGCATGTGCATCATTACTCACAAGGATGCACTAATTTCATGACTAAGATGAAAGGATAGGACCTTTGGCATGAAAATAGATTTGACCATTAAAAGATAATTCCAATTCATTATTTCTTTTAATTTAGTTAAAATATTAATATTTTTTAATAAATTTATTATAAAATAAGTATTTAACTTAATATTTTATAATTTAAATTATTACTCTAATCGTTGGGAAAGAATTTCGGCATGCAGAGGCTGAATCATTTTTCTTAATTTAATTAATATTCTGATTCTATTTTTTTATTTAATTAGTTTTTTTTTTCTTTTTGATAAATTCTTTTTCTTTATTTAATATTTTACCATTCAAAAAATATATATAAAGAAACGTCTAGTATATGTACCTGTTTCTGGTCCCTGCTTCCAAGCTTATGCATTCTTTCTTTCTCTCTCTCATTCCGTGAATTTCTGTTGCATTGTCTCTGTAGAAAAAGAGCTTCAGAAATGGTGAGCGCTGCAATTGCTCGTAACGTCATCGGCGTAATAGGTTCCTCTCTCTCTTCTCTCTCTCTCGCTCTCTCTTTCTCTCTCAATCGCATCATGAATTTTTTGTGACTTTCGCTAGCATCATCGTTAATGCATGATCGAAGTTTTTCATTTCAGTTTTGATTTGAATTGAACGCGTTCCTTTGGTGGAAATCAGAGTAGTACATGATTTTGCAAAGAAATTTTTTGCTTCGTTCCAACAACTTTTGTCTTCCCGTTTTTTGCATTGTTGGTCAATTAATTTAGAATTTCATTTTGGATTTAATAGTCATTCTATTAATATGCTCCATTTCTCCTATCACTGCAGTTTTTGCACTTCAGAGTAACATTAGTTACTTTTTGTTCTTAATTTGTTTATTCAAAAATTATTCTACAACTATGATTCAAAGTAATTTATTTATTGAGAGGAAAGAGTATTTTAGTAAAATTATTAAAAAAATATTATATTTATCGTTATTTTTAATTTATGTTAGAAATAAGTACGGAATGGATTAGATTGGGTCCATTTTTGTCCAAGTTTGACCTAATTTTTTGTCCGTCAATTTTCTAAAACTCAATTCGTCCACCCAAAGATTGAAAATATATGGAATAAGGTAGGATTAACTAAATTTTGATATATTATATTAATTTTAACATTATGTATAATTAAGTTACAAATTAAAAAAGTATGAAACTTAAATTAATGTATATTTTATAATATATATATATATATTTTTTTTTTTTAAATAAATAATTTTATTATAAATATAATATCATGTTATAAAAAGTATTATTAATTAAATAAATCTTTATTATTAATATACAATAATTCAATAAAACGTATTTTTTTAAGAAAATATTATATATTAAACTAGGTTAGGTGGTCTGAAATGTAACTTGAACCCGTTCAAAAAAATATATTGGGTTCAAAGCCTAAACCCATCCAAATTAATCTCAAGTCTGATCGAATTAACGAGTAAGGTTAGGTCGTGATCACGTCTAATCTATGTGTAAAATCTTTAAACTATACTCATTATGAGATGAAAAGTGTAATTTATGAAATAATTATCGTAAATTTATATGTATGAAAGCTTGCGATTGAACAATAGTTTAAGGTCACTTTACACTGTCAGTGTATAATTTTTTTCCTCTTTAATTTTTATGTGCCAATAATATAATTTTTTTAATGCAATCAACTAGTCAAAAATTATTAATGACATGATTTTTATAATAATTATTATAAAATTTAATAAATTTATTTTATTTAATAGTTTGTTATCAAATAATAATATATTTTGTTTTACATTTTCAATGCATAACTTATTTATTCACCAATTTATGCTTGAAAAGAAAATTTCAAATAATAAAAATTTAATTTTTATCAATAATTAAAGTAAAAAATTATACAATCAACCAACCATAAATCATTACTAATATAATTATTGTAAAAATTAAAAATTTAGTATACATAATAATTTGTAATTAAATAACAAGAAAAATATTTGTAATAATAATAGTTTAGATGTTAACAACTTTTAATCCATGTAGCATTGTGATCACTAGATCCGTTTTGAGTTCTGAGCGTATCTGTTTTCTTTTTCTGGGTGCAGGGAATGTCATCTCCTTTGGCTTATTCTTCTCACCGGCGTAAACACTCGTTCTCTGATTACTCTGTTTTGCCCCCCCTTAGTTTGTCATGTGTGCACTCTGCTTGATTCATTGCCGTTGTTTTCAGTTTTCAAAGCATCCTTTGATTTCACAAGTTTTTACTAAATGGTTAAAACTCGCGTATATATACATTTAAATAATTGCATAACTTTATACTACATATAAATATTTTATATGAAAACTAATGTGAATGATTAGAGTTAGCATAATATTGTGGAGATTAGAGTAATATCTTCAAAGTTTTAGGTTCATAAGTTGTTTGAATATTTAAAAAAAAATTAAAAATTATTCTTTCCTCTTGATTCATAGTACTAATGTTTTGGAAGACATCTAATGTCAATCCAAACATGCATTATATGTCATTTATTATTAGAAAATTTATTGCTATCTTCAAAACAATTTTTTTTGGTCAATTTTAAAATATTGATTGAATTATATTCACGAATTCTTTTTATACCAATAGTTTCAAAACTATTAAAAAAAATACTATAACGTTGTTTTCTTAATTTTAATTTTAATTTTTTTTCATTTTTTATAACTTGTTCCATGTTGAAGATAAATAACGTTGGCTACAAAACAAATACAAAAACTGAACGGAAACATATACGAAACTCTTAATTTCTGTCAAATAAGTAGCTTATTTTTTTTTTCCTTTTTTAAATTTCAAATAATCAATAAAATACTTATGAACGTATATTCGTAGAATTTTGTACCAATTTTTCTCATCCTAAATAATAGAACTTAATTAAAATGTTAAACCTATCAACTCAACCTAACTCGTTTATTTCACTAGTGAGACTAACAAACTTTGCTACTTAGAGAGTTGAAATATACAAATTCAACCCTTTGAAAGGGTTACACAAGTTAATTCGTAGGATTGGATTGAAACACATTTTGAAACCAGGGTAATTTGTCATTTTTTTTATTTATGAAAATATGTATCTAAATATATGTATATACCGAGTACATAGAGCAACAATTTTTTTTTTTCCTGTACTAGAACTGATCTACGATACCAAGAGTAGTTTAAAAATAAGTTCTATATCTTATATAGGATACAATAGCGCTTATAAATAATAATAATAAAAAAAAAAGTTATAGCATTGAAAAAGGGAGATGAGAAAAGCTCCTAAGGTATTCACAAGTGTAAAAAATAAAATAAAATATAAGTATGAGTTACTTATTAAGATACACCATTATAACAAAATATACATATTTTTATTTTTATTTTTATACATTACTTAAATATAATGTGACATGGTAGGATTCAGACAAAGTCAATAAGAAACTCAAAATGAGATATTAAATATACACCCATTAAAGATGTTCTTCCATATACAAAAGAAATCATTAATGAAAAACGATGCATTTCTCTTAAATATACGAGTTTGTTTGTTTATTTAATTATATGTTGAACTATTTACATGAATTACAGTCCAACTTTCTATGGAATTATAAAAAAGAAGGCGGTGGAGGAGTTCAAGCCTGATCCTTACATAGCTACGGTGTTGAATTGTGCATTTTGGGTGTTCTATGGAATGCCATTTGTGCACCCACACAGCATTCTAGTTCTCACTATCAATGGCGTTGGGCTTGTGTTCGAGTTTGTCTATCTTACCATATATTATATCTATGCTACCAACAAAGGACGGGTGCGTGTGTTTTCTCTCTTACTGTGCCATTCATTTCTGCATTTATGGTCCCTACTTTGATGCCTCAATCTTTTTCTGTTTTTTTTTTTTTGCTAATAATATAATGTCCAGAATGGCCAATCTAACTCTCTTTTTGACTCTTGAGCAGTCATGAAACCTTTTGTGGTAACAACTTCACATGATTTTCATTTCTAGTCTTCTGAATTGGGAATATCATTATGGAAATTAATACAATTCCCCAAAATTTCCCTGGCTAAGCTGACTTATTAGTTGATACGGTAACAACTTGTTCTTTGTTGTCTGGGTTAAACAACTTGTTCTTTCCTTGTCATACTTTTATAGAAATGCATTTATATTTTCAAATATTTACTGGATTGACAGAATTCATTCAACTCTCATTTTCACAGTTATAGATATTCTATCACATGGTGGGTCCAAATTATGTGTAGCATATTTATAATAATAAGTTTGACAATGCCGCTTTTTTCATTAAATGGATTTGACTATGAAAATAGCTACTATTTAATTTCATTTTTGGGTGTAAGCTATTAAAAAAAATTTTAAAAAAATTCAAGTATTAGATTTTATCTTATAATAAATTAGCATTAAGTGAAAGATGCTTAACAAGTATTTTAATATAATATCTCATATATTTTTTTATCCATATGTACCAAAGTTAATTAGTACTAGGTGATTTACAATAAATTTATAATCTTTTCAACCAACCTAGGTAAATCCTTGATATAATTTTCCATTAATTGAGACAAAAGATATGTTACCAGATTTCATCTTAAAATTAGTTAAAAATGAAATTCTCTAACAAATATTTAGACCTCACCTCATTAGTTGAGGCAGGCGTTGTGAGATTATTTTAACAGGTAATTTATAAGTGATAATTAATTTAGAGTTAGAAATATTTTTGAATATAAGAGTTTGGTTTTATTTTAAATCATGCACAGGTACATATATATTTTTGAAGGTATCATTGTATTTAAGTGGAGTGTCAGAAATATACTCTTTAATATCCTTCTCTTAACATATTCTAATTGGTTAGAAATTTTGAAAGTTACAAAATCAAGAGAAGAAATCATTAAATAGAATATTAGACCCAATAAATTTTTTGTTTTTTAATAAAATTTGACCAATTATAGAGTGTTAGAGAGGTCTCCTATTAGCATTTCTCTTATCAAAATTTTGAGCTGTAAAAAAACTTGCAAAATCAAGAGAGGATCGTTAAACAGGGTGTTAGATTCACCAAATTATATATTTTTTAATAAATTTTGACTAATTATAGAAAGAG